CAATTTTTGCACTCCCCGTGGTAAATGCGGATGCTACATTTTTCGCAGCGCCAGTGAATCGAGCCGATCGGTAAGGACTCGGTCGTCGGCGATTCGACCCACTCTATGCTGGATGCGGTCAAGTGGAAGGAGCCGGCACTGGGGCGCCCCAGCCCAGAGATGTGAACAGTATTCCATGTGAGGATAAACCTGCGCCTTGTAAAGTTGCAGGTGGTGTGCCGGCATGAAATACTGTCCCGCTCTGCTGAGCACGCCAAGCTTTTTAGAGGCCAATTTGGCCTTCTCTTCCAAGTGGCCACGAAACTGTACGTCATTCGATTTGTCGACGCCGAGGATTCCGATACTGGCTGAGGCAACAAGGGAAGTGCCTTGAAACTAAGGAGATAAAGGAGATACGACAAAGGGGTTCGTTTTAGCGGCAAACGCGCAAATTTGTGTCTTCTGAGGATTAAACTGGACTAGATTTAGTCATCCCCAATCCGCGACTTTGTTCAGCAAAGACTTGACTTCAGACAAAAGTTTGTTCCGGTACTCGGCGACGTTTTTCCAAGAAATAATGGCACGGCCGGTATATAGAGCATCACTAGTGCTGTCATCCGCATAGCAATGAATGTTACAGCTTCGCAACATATCATTGATATGCAGAAGAAACAGTGTGAAACACCAGCATTAATAGGCTTGTAGTCGGAGCATGCACCATCTACAGCGACCTTGATGCTCCGATCTGCAAGATAGCTGGTGATCCAGTTGCACAATTTTGCGGGAAACCTATAGGAAGGGATCTTCGAAATCGAATCGATCGAAGGCTTTCGCAATGTCCAAACTATCGGCCTATGCCTTCCCTTGGACTCGACTGCCTCCGCCCATCTATGAGTCAGGTAGACCAGATTACCAGCTAATCGACTCCAACGAAAGCTGTATTGGCGGTCACTAATCAGCTGGTGATCCTCAAGGTACCGCATGATTCCATTATCTTGGAGAACAAGGAGGTGATGGCGATAGGCCCGTAGTTCTTATATAGGATCTGAGCGGTTGACTTTTTTAGGGATCGGGTGCACCAAAGCTGTCTTCCATGAGTTCGGGACTACGCCTAAGGAGTAGGAGTACCGGAAAAGACGCGTTAGAACCGGTGACCACTTGCACACGTCCTCAGCACAATTGGGGGATTCCGTCAGGCACATTCGACTTGTGGATGTCCAGGGAGAGGAGTGCTTTGCGAACCGAGTGCTGTGTGAACCGCACATCCGACATGGAGCACTCACACCGCGGGATGGTCGGCGGTGTGTTCCCCCCGTCATCGCGAGTCGAGTTGCACGCAAAGAAAGAGCAGATCAGCTTTCTTCTTTGCGGCAGTGAGTCATCCTCCCTGTGCAGAGATGGAAGAGATGGCTGGCAGAAATTCGCTTGGACAGACCAGACCTTGGCGAGACCAGAATGCACGGGTTCCCAAAGGAAGGCGAACTTGTTTCTCGCCAATTCTGCCTATGTGCTCTCACTTTGCCTTGGCCATGACTCTTTGGAAGGACCTGGAGGCGCAATTATACTTTTAAGGGTGCTGGTGCTTACATCCCGGGACGTTCATGCGTCAACCCAGGCCCGGTATCACTCCTGCTTATAGCGTGATGCTATTTTACAGGAGCGACTAAATCATCGCTGAGATCTGCCTCCGATGGGCACCATAGAAAAAGGAATAAAAAGTTCCATACCCTGAAGTACCACATCAGCAATAGAATTAGCAACAACGTTGGGATCGTCCGGCGAGAAGCAAACCCGCCTCCAAGGGTAGAATGCAAAGAAAGACCGCATCCCATTCCAATCAGCCGACCTATAGTGGCAGACATGGCGGCAGCCTGCAGAAAGCAACCGCGATTTCAACGTGAGTGGCACCATACTCAGGACTAGACAATGATCCGAGCAGCCAAGAGGGGCTTCAACAGAGACCTAATATCTGTCCGGATGAGAGGTCAGCAGAAGGTCTAACAGGGAAGGTGCATGATCCTCCACATCTGGAATCCGCGTAAGCGTAGTAACCAGTTGTGTCAGACCATATGCCAAGGCAAAATCATGAACAGATCTCCCCGCATGATCGGTTAAACGTGAATCGAGCCATTCGGCGTGATGGGCGTTAAAACCGCCAAGGATCACGATCTCTGCGGTTGGGACCTGTTGTAGCAAGGAATCTGAAACCATTTGGATATGGTCGATGAGTCGTTCTGTTTCGGCATTACCGCCATGGGACCTATAGACGCGCGGATGGTCGTCGCTGTCTACGCGTAGCTAAAGGATGGACAAGTCCGAACCTTCAAGACTGTCAAGCCGACAACAACAGATGTCCTCTCTGACGTATACGCAAACTCTGGAGTCTGTGCTGGCACAAAGGACTGATGGATTCTCCAGGGGTGCTGGTACCCTCTAGGGTAGTTTTTCTTTTAATTCCGCTACCATGTTGATGGAGGGGGGGGGGGGGGATTTGGCCACCGGCCACTTGCACTCACCAGACGAAACGAAGAAGTAGAGCTTCCGCTTCACGCCGGTATAATATTTTCTTCTCCCTTGCACACTATGTCCGTCGATACGCCGGTATATTCTAAGTCTATGCAAAAAACATAGCAATGTGACACATCAAGCATTTAATATATTTAGAATTTTTTTAAAGCAAATCATTTTAAAGGTATTACTTGACACTGTCAAAAGCCAGTGCGAGACCTAAGAATAAAAACATGCACGTAAAGTCTTGCAAAAATCCATATAGAATAAATAATATAGCATTAGTCGGTCACAGTTACTATATTGTTATAATAAATCATTATTAATAGATTATGTTATTTATTAATGTGACATTCAAAAATTATATGCCCGCGATTTTAGCCTTTATGCTATGCCACTCATTTAAAGACCATGCATACACCGTCATCATCATTACAGCCCTTCACAAGTCCACTGCTTTGTTCAGCAAGAAATGCCACAAAACTCACTCACTTTAAAATATTTTACTCATAACAACTAATTCTTCCCTTTTCCTTTCAAGAGTATCATCTACTCATGTCTCCCTCTCAACGTTCGGCTTATCGAGCTTTCACCAAAGGCGACATCACGTATATCTTTTGATTTGTACCTATACTTCTTTCGACAATATCTTTATGAGTCAGTGTCGAATGTCGATGCTCCGTCATTGGCAATGAATACAGCCAGGAACAGAAATAAATTGCGAGAGTTTGTTATTTCAATATTATGACAACGAACATTACAGTACGCATGTGTTTATTTTTTAGATTTATCTACAAGCACGGTTTATAATATTATTATACTTTTGAGACTGTTGTTTTAAACTATTCCGCGAACTGTTCACGCTGCTTGGAGCAGATCACAAGTTTTTAGCGTGATCAGCCGCATCCTATCACACGGTGAAGACGGCGCTTATGAAGAAGGCGTGCCCGGTGCCTTGCATGAGAGTTTTCACAGCTATATCAATAAGGTATATTAGTTAAACATTGATAGCTGCACTGAAAAGTATAGATCACAAAAATACTGCATAAGTTTCTTTGATACTGTTATTAAATTTTCAGTTTTATATTAATATTTATATTTATATTGAGATGTTTATGATATTTAATAGAATTTAATTTATTTATTAATGCATACTAATATACCTCGACATACTGCCAAGTCTAATAGTCTGCTAAGTAATTATTTATATATTTAAATGTTTGTATTTTCCTATAACCATTATTCTGTGCTATAACGTCGTTTCTGAATATAAAAAATGTTATAAGAATGTTACAGTAAACATTAAAATTAAAGCCTTATTTCACACGCACATTGGATTTCCCAAACTATTTGAAAATATTGTATTAAAAATACTATTATATATATATATATATATATATATATATATATATATATATATTATATATATATCTATATATATATATATATATATATATATATATATCAGTTTTATGTTAATATCCATTAAAATCATAATATCTCACAGTGGAACTACGATCATCAATGTTTAAATATTTTTTTGTTTACTTTTCAACATCCCACAGGATAACTTTGTATGGAGGTGTATGGATGTGACGGGATGGTGCGATATCACGGTATCCTCACGTCAAGGCATGGCAGGTGCCCTAACCGACGGCAGTACCGAGACCTTCTGGGAGTCCGGAGACGAAGACCGTAATAAGGCTAAGTGGATCCAAATCGCATGCCCTAGTAGCTCGCAAGAAGACCGACCGTACTTAGTGTGCTTACACGTCGACAACACCAGGGACGCTGCGGTAAGTAAAACATTATTTAATTTAAAATATTTATATAATATCTCAAACTTAGTACCTATATAATAATATCATTTCGGAGATTATCCTTTGTTGTCACTTCCCGATTCACAAAAATCATATATCAAACTAACGCCGAAAGGTAAAGAGATATACTCGTACATTCAGTCAAAAAAGTATCGGAAATGGATGATTTGTTTGTTGTTGTTAGATTGGCACAACTGTTGTCCATTTTGGCGCGGAGTTTGAGTTACATCTGTTATTTAGATTAAATACAGTGCTGTTTTAGTTATATCATATCTAGTGTGTATTGCAAATTTCACAATGGATAAAAACATCGAACAACGAGTTTGTCTGAAATTTTCCATCGCCAATGGAATTTCGTATTCACAGTCACTGAAAATGTTACAGAAGGTTTACGGTGAATCTACTTTATCAAAAACACGTGCTTATGAGTGGTACAAAGCGTTCAAAAGCGGTCGAGATGTGACGTAATATTTTCCTCTCTGGTAGGCCATCAACATCTGCAACTAAAGTGACCATCGCAAAAGTGAAGGAAATAGTGACTGACAATCCTCATTCAAGTTTGAGAGAGATATCTGCCGAACTTTCTGTGTCTCACGAGTCGATCGGTACCATTTTAAATAATTACTTGGGTATAAAACATGTTGCCGCTCGGCTAGTCTCAAAAGACGTGAATTTGCTCAAAAAACTCAATCGCATAAGAGTCGCTGAGGACATACTAGAACGAGTCCATTCCGACCCAATATTCATGAAACGCATTGTTACTGGTGACGAGACGTAGGTTAAGAGTTTGACATGAAAACTAGTCAACAAGCTTCGGAGTGGCGTCTTCCAACTGAACCGAAACCGAAAAAACCACGCCAAAGTAGTCATGTTGACCGTTTTCTTTGACTATCACGGAGTTGTGCACTCGGAATTCTTGCCGAGAGGTCAAACGGTAAATAAAAAATATTATTTGAGCGTTATGAGGCGTTTAAGATAGCAAATTAGAAGAAAAAGGCCAGCTTTGTGGAAAGCAAATTCTTGGATTTTGCACTACGATAATGCACCTTTGCACAGGGTCATCATTGGGAACGAATTTTGACCAAAAACTCAACAAATACCATGGAGCAACCACCTTATTCACGAGATATGGCTCCAGCCGACTTCTTTCTTTTTTCTAAACTCAAATTGCCACTTCGTGACACATGTTTTAGTCTGGTAGAAGACATAAAGGAGAATTCGCAGCGAGTACTGAACTCAATTCCGGAAAAAGCCTTCAAAAATATTTTGATGATTGGATTATTCGTTGGAGAAAGTGTATCGTTTCTGAAGGAGCAATACTTTGAAGGTGATAAAGTAAACTTGGATGAATAACTAACATTTTGTGTATTATTGATCTTTTCCCGGTACTTTCTTCACAGAGCAGTAATACATAACATTACAACATAACTACATATTCATTATCATCATGATTATTACTGCCCTCCAAAAGTCTAGTGCTCAATATAGGCCTCCCCAAAGCATGGTCCTGAGCCACTTGCATCCATCGACTTCGTGCAAATCTTCCCAGATAGTCACTCCATGTAGTGGGGGCCGTATTATTAAACTACATCTATTGTAATTAGTCGGGAAGAAAAATGAGATGTGTAATGTGAGCTTTACTTAAAAGCATCTATGATCTCGGATCGACTATCGAAGTGGCAGTAAATGAGGCCTACCATTTTTAGTAATTCCTTCACTTTAATTTTTTGTCGTAGGTTTGTCTCTCACCTTTACACGATATTGTTTTATTTGGTCGTTATATTGTGAAAAATGTACCATTTTTAATAGGCATATTGCACGATTTCAGAACAAGACTCTGCTAGCGTCGTTCTTATTCAGCAGCGGCTCAAATGAAATGGTCTACATGCAGGATTCCGAGATTGATCCCAATAGTTTCACCTGGGTTTGCTACGCTCTGCCTCGTGAGTTTTACATTGTATTATTTAAAAAAATTGTTTATTTGCGTCATAAAAAGGAACTGAGCAGTTAGTTGCAATCAAATTATGAAAGTTTTTTCCTAGTTATAAAGTTAACTCTGAATAATTGATGATTTTATTGAAACGAAGTTCCTTATCGCGAGGAAGTGTAAGATTTTTCCGTCACGACCCCTTCTGACGTAGTGTAGGCCCTGGCGGTTATAATGAAGTGAGATTGAATAATATTCCTCTCCGTCACACTTTTTCTTATCTTGTCATGAAAGAAATATAATGTTATTTTAAATTACATTTCATTGAATTAATAATTCATTTATTCGTATTTGTTGATCAATAATATAATACGTTTATCAAATAATAATATACTACGAAAGGAACTTCGTTCCAACCGAGTGTTCCACGGCATTCACGCATGTTTTTTTTTTCATTATTTTAGTGTTTACAATATATTATTAAAATTTGCAATAGATCACAGAGTGAAATGTGTAATTTAAAAATAATCTCCATTTAAAAAGAATGAAAAGCGTTCTAGCAATAAAAATAATTTGTTCTGTGTTTTTTATCGACTTTCCTTAAAAATTATATTGATAATTTGGTATGGTCTTAAATAGTAACTATAAAAATGTTTAGTTTAATTTTTTATTTATTTAATTTGCAGGCATTGCAGGCGCAGCGATAAGGGTGCGTTGCGAATTACGCGGGCCCGAAGCAGCGGTGCGCGTCCGGCAAGTGCGTGTGCTCAGTGTGCCCGTGCCTCACCCCACCAGCGCGCTGCCCTCGCACGCGCTGCAGTCTCTCGTGGAGCAGGACACGTTGCGTGTGTTCCGCTTGCTCACTTCACAGGTTGTTTTTTATGATTCTTTAGATTTTTTAAACAAAACTCTCCTTTCATAGGTTTTCTGAATAGCATAAGGCTGCCTTTGGTTTTCTCTCAGTTTTCGTTTATTTTATTTTGTTATGAGATGATATTTGTTTTTCTTTGGTGTGCGATAAAGAAAGCCGACAAACCTAGCTCCGCTAATTAATTATTTGTGAATAAGTAATACATACTACCAAGTACGTAGACAACCAGCACTGAATGGAGTAAAAAAGAGAAAAATCTGTCTTTCCATGAAATAACAAGGTACATCACCACTATCCATGTAGAAGTTAAGCACTGACTTATAATTATCACCACCATCATCATCATTGTAGCCCATTACGAGTCCATTGCTGATAAAGGCCTACCCTGATAAACAACACAAAGCATGGTTTTGGGCCACCTGCGTCTACCTGATACTTTTCGCTTCTACAACCCAAATGTGTATATCTTGTTTTTAATTGTTATTTTCTAATTTTTGGTGTAGGTACTTTGTTTTATTATAACAATTAACCATTTCGGTCATGCATTATTTACTCATTAATTGTTCAGTAGTTTTAAGAATCGTTACAGCTAAAAGTCCACTGCTGAACATGGCCTATGTTCAGTAGCGGACTTTTGGCTCGCCTAAGTAATATTTGCCATTGTTGCCACGCAACGTGCATACCGCAGTTGTTTATTTTTAGTCGTTATAAGGAAGACGCTGCTGCCTATCTTCTGGGTTATTTCCCACTGTCGCCTCTTACGACACCAATGAGCAATATGGGGTAGTGGATATTCTTACACCGACTTCAATTAAAGTTACAGTTAAGTTTACTTATGTACGTTACTTTCAGGTGTTTGGCAAACTGCTAGAGTGGGATCACAGTGCTACTGAGTCTAAAGAAGGTGCTGTAGCAGCGGAGGATACGATTGCAGACGACAGCGACTTGCGTGAGCACGTCGTCGGCATACTCTTTGCTGGACATAAACTCACCTCGCTACAGAGACAGGTGAGAGTCAGTGAGAGTGAGAGGCAAGTCATATGTTAAAATTAATTGACTTAGTTAACTAAAAATTATGGTCAGACGTAAGATTATCGTTAATATAAATACATAAACTTTCATTACCTATAGTAGCGACATTAGTAAATTATCAAACCGATGTAATTCCTTTAAAAAGCCTGGTAGCGATGGCATCCCTCTCCAATGTAAACATAAATGCCGAAAACACTTATCTTATCCTTAATCAATAATTTTCTATATGCCCGTTAACACCTAAGGAACATTTCCTGTTCATGCTATGAAGGTTGTCTCAGAATGTTTTCGTTTTTGGTACCTATTAATAATACATCAGAAATAGTTAATAGGCGACTCCGTGGCGCAGTGACTTAGCAATGAGTTGCTGCGCTGGGGGCCGCGGGTTCGAATCCCGCACGGAACAAGTATTTGTATGGCCTACAAATAATTGTTCCGGGCCTGGATGTTTATATTTGTTAAATTTATGTATGTAAACTGCCCCCACGATATACAAGAAAATACTAGTATGGAGGTAACGTTTTATAAAAGAAGAAAAAAAATAGTTTATACGCGTTTTTCTGTTAAATTGAAATTATTGCACTTTTATTTAGGAAAAACAAGCATTTGTATCAACCACCATCTTTTATCTATTTATTTATTATGGTCTCCCAACTAAGATACTTAATATTATGTTGTTATAAATAGTATTATGTTACGTATTTTTTTATTCTGGATATATTTTATTAAGTTTTATCATAGGACTAGCTGTCTCCCATGACTTCACCCGCGTGGAATTTACTACGATTTCATGGGTTTTAATTTTTTGCTCGAAACCTTAATTCTTTTCCCAAAATAAAAGTATCCTAAGTTACTCCTTATAACATCAGCTATCTGCCAGTGAAAGTCCGGTCAAAATCGGTTCAGCCGTTTCTGAGATTAGCCGGAACAAACAAACAGACAAAAAATTTATAAATGTATTTCTTTTTGCTTTTAGTACCGTATATACTTTCATATGCATTTATTAAAAAGCTGTTAGTGTATCCGGGGCTTTAAGTTCAAATATATACCGTTATTGCAGTTTTTGAAAATACGCGTAAAGGGCTTCTACATTTATTTGAAATTATCCCAAATTGAATGTGATATATGGGTAACAATGTTTTTGCCTACCGTTCAACCTTTACGAATGTGTGCGTGCACAGTAAATTTAGTTAAAATAATGCATTACCACTAATTTTGAATTTAAAATATAAAAAGGACAGAATTAGTGAGATTTTTTCAATAAAATTTTCTTCACCGTTTGTCTATATTACTTATTCTGAACCTTCTCTGCAAATTTGGCCGGTTATTGCAAAATAACCCTGTATAATCTTTATATAATCTTGAAGGCAACAATTCATATTCTATAAATATAGGCAAACTAGGCAAATATTTACACGTGTTTTCTGTTATTTGTTTTGCGTGACAAAAAAGTAAAGTAAAGTTACACACTATATATACGTCCCACTGCTGTGTTATATCTGAGAGGGTGTTAGTGCAGGGAAGTTTCCACCGCGCTGCTACAATACATGTTGGTGGACTTTACACGTCTTGCTTGAAAATGATTCAAAGGCTTTTTTAATTTTTTGGTCATGCAAGTTTTTAACGAATTTTTCCTTCACCGTCGAGTACGTGATAAATTAGGATTAAAGTTACAATAAACAATTTCATTGGTAAGCGGGGGTGGGGGGTGCTTAGTCCCCGAGATACCCATGGCTCAATAGGCGACAGAGTAAAATAAAACGGCTGGGCAGCAGGATATTCCACAAAATAATAAAAAAAAATTACTTAAATGTCAGTTCAAACAATAATATCAGTAGTCGGAGGATTTATAAGTGCGGATTAAGAGTAATAGTTATTAGATCACACCATTGACCTCAATATATTTATCTCAGTAAATTATCGAAGGCTTTGTTGTTCAAGTTAAAAGAGCTTTTAATACTTATCCGTGACAAGCTTATAAATTATAAGTTACTAGTGACCTGCTCCCCCTAAAAGATTTAGTATTTTATCAATTAGCATTTTCCAAAAAAGTCCAAGTTTTTCGGATAATATATTATAATAATAATATACTACATTATAGATAGCTCCTGGTATTGCTCTCTACCTTTTCGTGAAGTTTCATTACAATCGGCCATTACGAACGGCCTAGCCCCCACAAACAGACAAATAATCTAACAACACACAGACACTTAAATTTTATATATACATGTAACATGTAATTCTAGTATATTCGTGAGTTGTATAAGGAAACCATCAATCCTCTCCCACTTTTAACAAACCATCTCTATCATTCCACAGATGGCTCTTAGATTTTATAAAAGGCTAATATGGCGCAAAGTGCAGCAACATTTCATTGCCATCGGTAACTTGCAGTTTAACTATCTGGAATAATCCAAAAGAAGATGCAAACCATCCAAAGCTATTATTGGGAGTAGCGTCGTATGTGTCAAAAGAAACTGCGGCTGCTAATCTCCCTGCTAAAAGTGACTACCAGGGTGAATGGGATAGATACCTACATGTTTAGAATTCTAGTCGTAGTAGATACAAAATGCGATATTGTATGTCGAAACCTCATATTATTGTTTAAGATGATTATCAAATAGACATATTATAACCATCGATCACTAATAAAAAACTAAATACACAATCCCATGCAAAAGTTCTCTAAAAACTGCCGCCAATTGTTTTGGCGTAATTTTAGTTGAAATAAACATACATTAATGTAAATTCAACCTTATATGCATTGCCTAAAGTTGTATTCATAAAGCTACGTACAAATTAAAAGCGCTCCCAAATGTTCGAGTGGGCGCTCATTCGGTATGGACATTTTTTGTCACTGATTGTGTATTTAGTTTTTATCAGCGATCGATGATTATGATAGATTTTCTAACGTTAATAATTTTAATTGCAGGTGATGACGCACATCGTGTGCGCGATCCGTTGTGAAGCGACTCGCGTACGCGATGACTGGGAAACGGCGTTTCTATGCGCGGACGCGGCCGAGAAAACTGAACGGTCTGAGCAAACAGAGCGAACTGAGCGAGCTGAGCAAACTGAGCAACCTGAGCAACCTGAACAGGCTGAGCAGGCTGAGCGATTTGAAGGATCGCTACTTCCCCCTCCACCGCAGGATAACTATTGCTTTGAGATGCTTTCACTGGTATGTATACGTTTCCCTAATATCTTAATCTGAGAGTATGTATTAATCGCTTAATCAGTTTACTTAGGAGAGAAAAACGTAATTGTAATGGAGATAGAAACTTTAATTAAATATATATTATAAATAACATTCATTAAAATAAGTAATTCATTATGTTACGTTTAATTTACTACTGCACTGGTTTGGAAAATACCTATGCCCAGGAAAGAACTAGCAAGAATCCCAGCTGGAGTTGTTTTTAGATATTATCACAGTTTACAACTATATAAATGTTACACTATTAACCACACAAAACAAATTAGAAATAGCTCGGTAGCCATCATTCCCATGGGTTATATTATCCATAAATTACTTAATGTTATAAAAACCTATTTTATATAAACGTAACAGCTCAAAGCCCAGGGTATTCGTCCTTTCACCATGTATCGTGGCTACCAGAATTATTTCATACACAACCCAGTACCGACTACAACAGTTGGGTTTTTTTCTTAGAGGGTTTGGAATTGAGCTTTCTAATGGTTAAGAAGCACTCTTATGAGAAGGGTCACATTTTTGCAATACATACGGGACGTTTATCCGTCTCCAACGCTCAGACCTTATATTATTGTATTAGAGGAAGGCCTGATAAGTCCTCCTCCGAACTCCAATTACAGACAGCGCCATTGATTAAATTTAAAATAGAAACAGAAACAGTAACTTTTTTATTCAAAATAGATTATTAATAAAACTTATTGAAAGTCACTCTTTTGTTTAATTACCACCGGTTCGAAAAAAAACCTCTGGCCTGGGAAGAACCAGCAAAAAACCCAGCGGGACTTTTTTTAATAACAGCTTACAATCATGTATGTTATACAATTAACCACACAAAACAAATTTCAAATAGCTTGGTAGCGATCACCTAATTCCGAGGGGTTATTATCATCCATAAATTCCTTAATATTATAATAACCCTTTTTATATAAATTTTGTTTAATAAAGTTTTTGAACGATATCGCCCCAAGGATGAATTACTGACTCGGTGGAGTCGAGTAACTGGTACTACAAGCTTGTTTCTGTTCCTAGTATTTACGGAATGAATATCACTTATTTTTGTATAACTGCTTTTATTTTAGTGTACGTTACATTTTCATAAATGTATTGAGAGGCCAAAGTTAATATATTAATTTCCTTAAATTTTTGTCGGAGTGACTCTTTAGGTTTTAAATCAAAGATTGCTCTTATGGCCTTCTTCTGTAAGAAAAAAAATATAACTTCAGTGTCAGACGCGTGTCCCCATAACAAAATACCATACGACATAATGCTATGGAAACAGCTAAAGTAAACAAGTCTAGCTGTTTCCACACTGGTAAGATTTCTAATCTTTTTACAGCATATTCTGCAGAACTAAGTCTGCTTGCTTATTTTGATATATGGGCGCTCCATTGAGGCTTTGCGTTTAGTGTTGTACCAAGAAAAATGGTGGTATCGACAAGACTCAGTTCCTCCCCATTTAAAATTACCTAAGTATTTAATTGTTTGACATTTGGAGTCAAAATTTCATAAATTTTGAGTTTAAATGCAAGTTATTAACATTAAACCAATTTACTAATCTAGATATAACATTATTTAATTCGTCATTATTTAATAATTGTAGTTTTAATTTGAAAATTAATGAAGTGTCATCAGCAAATAATACTATATTATGGTTAATACCTACTATGCAAGGTAAGCCATTAACATATGCAAGAAACAGAAAGGGGCCGAGAATTGCGCCTTGAGGCACGCCCATTTGTACCATCGACGCGGAGGACCTCATACTATTAATGACAACTTTTTGCTTTTTGTTACTTAAATATGAAACAATTAATTTATATTAATTAACAATTATATTAATTAAGAAACAATTAATTACTTCTTACATCGTAGTGTTGTAGTTTCCTGATTAATGTTTCATGGTGACATTAATCAGAATTGAATGCATTGAAAATATGTTTAATCAGTTCAACACCAGCATCAGTTGTGACGACCGCTTGTGAAACCGAATTGATTTTTATGAAGTAAATTATTTACATTTAAAACAATTATCAAGATACATTTGATCCTAAATAATTTTTTTCTAATATTTTATTAAGTGTTGGCATATGTACAGAAATTGGTCTAAAATTGGCGGGGTCTAATCTACTACCAGATTTAAATAAATGTATTACTTTACTATGCTTCATTAAATCAGGAAACACACCATATTCGATACTATTATTAAAAATAATAGTTAGTTGAGGCGCGATTATATCTATTATAGATGCAATAACTTTAACGGAAATCCCACACAGATCTGCAGTTTTCTTAATATCAATAGTTTTAAAATATTTTACAATATCTTTTGATGATAATTCATAAAAGGTAAAATTCTTTGTACACGCATTTACATTTTCTTTAAGTAATGATTCGGTGACGGCAGGAGAAGAATTCAGTGACTTAGTGGTTAAGATCGGAATATTAAAATAAATATTTCTCAAAAATCATTGTAACATCCTTGACTGATTCAGTTAACTCGTTGTTAAAACTTAATCGGTAGTTTGAATTGCGAGAGTTGACCTTACCAGCTTCGCTGTTAATTATACTCCACGTCATTTTAATTTTATTAGAAGCCGTCTTAATTTTGCTGTTCAAATGCAAAGACTTGGCTGTGGAACACACTCCTTTAAATATATTTAAATATTTTTTTACATATGCTCTAAATTCGACGCTAAGGTTATATGACCTTTCATGGTAAAGTTCATATAGACTTTTTCTACTCTTATGGACTCCTACTGTCGCCCATTCATTGAATGCCTTCCGACTGTTCAAGGAGAACGTTTGAGAAGTAAAATTATTACCAAATTCATTGCACATAAGCTTAAACAACGATCGATACAAAAAATTAGGATTATTTTGGTTTATAAGTGATGGAAGTTTCTTCACTATGTTGCTTCTAAATTTCTCCAAGCGACGTGCATTTACTGGAACAAACACTATTTACTCATCTACTTGGTTTTTGTTATTACTCACATCGTGAGACGCAGTCTTGCTATTGGTTTGTATACTTTACTTAGTTTAATGTATCTTTTATTTACTTCTAACTGTTTACCGTGTTCCATTAATGTTTTACGACATAAAATTGTTAGATATTATATAATTTAAAACAGCACGCGCTATTTTTAATTTATGGTAGAATTTATCACTTTTATCATGTCAAATATTATAGCAGGACTCTGTCACTCTTGATATAAGTAGCGGTGCGAAAGTATAGCGGTGACCGTTATTGCGCATAAGTCGCGCTGATTGGCTGGTGCTTATCGTTCGCACGCGCTGATTGGTTCGTGCGTATCGTTCGCACGCGCTGATGGGCTCGTGCGTATCGTTTGCACGCGCTGATTGGCTATCCAGTCGCATTTGTGCAATTCAATTCGTGCGCGTCCCCTCCACGTTTTGTTCAGCGCTATATTTACGTTTCGCGACTTGTACCTACGTGAAATAATTACCTGCAATCGGGAGGCGCCCCTGGCCTACATCGTACATACGCAGTCGGGTCTAACGCGTTGTAGGCATCGATATATACTACGCACTAGATTTCGCATTCCGAACATTGACAATGTTCAACTGAAGTGTACTGCAGTCCGTACACTAAACTAAATATTGCGTAAATTGAAGATTTGTGAATTCTATAAGATAGTTATTATTACATTTTATTTAGAAATATATTTGTTTAGATTAAAATAAGAGTATTTTATATTAAATTCTTATATTTATTTTATATTAATATCTTATTTTATATTAAATTAAAGTCTTCGCGCATATACGACTCTACTACCTCCCGCGCATGCGCGAAGACAGAATAGCGCACAATTTTTCTTTGGAACAGCTTCTCTAGTATGTAGAACATATAACTCAATGGTTGTTGGCGATTGAATGTTAAAGTTTTTAAACGCTATTTACATAAATTTCTTTTTTGTAAATACTTGTTAAAATAGTTTTTGTTTAGTGTTTAGTATATTTAATTGTAGGGTAAAATAGATGACAAAGTTTTAATGTAATTTAAAATAATATATATATATTACCTATTTGTTTGATAAATTATTATAATGGCTAAACGTCGTTCCTACTATAATTGTTGCGTGGATGGATGATTAATGAGCTAACAAAATGATTCAGATATATCATTTTTTAGTTACCGAATGATAAGGAAAGGTGAATTTTTATTTCATATTTATTTATGTTTTTATTAGATAGCTATTTATAACGAAAAAAGAATTAAGTAATAATTTAAACAGAAGTATAACCTAAGTTTTCTATACTTACATACCTATACTTGTCTTTTGTAATTACAATATTTTAAGTTATAATAACACAAAATACTTAAATTAAAACTTTGTTTACAAGATTTTAACTAAGTATGATACGATATTTATACTAATATATTTTTATACCACATTTCTGTTAGGGGTCGTATTTCGGGTTTATTTTTTTTTATCTTAAAAAAACGTTACCCCCACACTAGGATTTTCTCCTGTATCGCGGAGGCAGTTTACAAACACAAATTGCACAAGGACAAACATCCAGACCCGGAACAATTATTTGTAGGCCGTACAAATACTTGTTCCGTGCGGGATTCCAACCCGCGGCCCCAAGCGTTGCAAACTCATTGCTAAGCCACTACGCCACGGAGCCGTCAATTTGTTATTTTATTTCTTCCGAGCCAAGCATCGCGATTCCCCACGAATGACCTTGCAAGTTGCATGCGTTGGGCATCACAGAACTCAGTATGGTCATTCGATCATAGTCACAATAGATACTTTACCTAACTAATTTAGCATTTCGCAATGTATTTTTTGTACTCTTTATTGACAGCCCTTAGTAACCACGAAAAATCCACCGTGATGTAGGAAGAGGAAAAGATGCATACTAATACGAACACTCGCACGCAGTTATAGTGTTATTCTGTGATTATAGTAAAAATTCTAATATCTGATATAACACATAATTGAAAGGGCGCGCAGATTTAGATCTTATGGTACTAAATATACGTAATTGTATCAAAATCTACCAAAGTACAACGAAGTTGTGTGCAGTTTTATATAAGACGATAGTTACTAAGAAATATTCCTTTATCTAAATAAGTTGTTGAATACTTTCTAAAAATATTTAAATTATTTTGCCCTTTGCGGTCAACAGTTACTGGCTCTAAGCGGGAGCGCGGTCGGTCGAGCGCATCTAGCACAGAGCATCGAACTGCTGACCAATTTGCTTTCTCTGCTTCATACTGGTAGTGAACGTGTTCAAAGACAGGTGGGTGGTTTAAACATATTCTGCATCATAGTAAGGTTTAGTCAAGGTTATTACAAAGTATGTTTTTTTTTTTTCATAATTTTATTAATATTAGTATTGTATGACTTTATTAGTGGTCACGCCAAATAATATATAGCTTTGAATATTTTTACATTGGACAATGTTCATATTAATGAAATATAATAAAAAAAATAAACGCCGTGTAATGGCGGCTTATGAGAATCCCTTTATGATCCCATGAGTGTTGTAAGAGGCAACAAACGGAAATGAAACAGCAGATGGGCAGCTGTAAAAAACTACGGTTGTCCACTTGCCTGCAAAGCGTGGCAACTAAGGTAAATATCTCCCACCTATGGAGCAATGTATAGTAGAGGCCTATGTTCAGCAGTGCACTTTTGTTAGGCTGTAAATAATGCATGAAAAAAATAATCGTACAAGTTTTAAGTATTGACTTTCGTTACAGGTGATATCGCTGTTGCGCCGTATGATTACCGAAATTTCACCGCAGAGAGTTTCAATGGCTATTAACCTTGGAGTCGATTTAGAAAATAGGTACGTCAAGATTATTAGATTAAATTATAAGTTGCAGTACAAACCAAAATGTTTTATATAGTTTCTTCCATGCATGTGACCGACAAATTCGACTTCATTATATAAACTTAACATTTACATAACAAAGGATAATGATACCTATATTTATCAATTTAATTTTTTATTAAAAGAGTGTTGAAAAGAATTAAAATCTTTAATATTAATTTTCAAGTAAACACAATAAATATTCGACAGATACAGGTAATTCAGGACCGTGTTGTGTGGCTTTCCTTGGGCGTACGTTTAACAGTGGTTTTATGGCGGACTGCATTGATATGATGATAAAGTAAATTAAAAAAAGCGTGAGAAAATAACTTTAACTTACAGTAAACTCAAGATTAAAGATTTAATTTTTTTATTACATTTACTTTTAATAGGCGAAGTATAGAGTGGCCCCTCACTAGATGGAGTGACGATCTAGTAGACATTCAGGTAATAGATGGATGCAGGTGACTCAGGGCGATGCTTTGTGGCATTCTTTGGGGGCGGCCTATGTTCAGCAGTGGACTTGTGAAGGGCTGTAATGATATGATGGAGCATAGGCATGAAAACCTCCCCATTAATTATATTATACGGCAACAAACATTCGATAATTCTTTCCACGTATATTATTTAACTTACATTTTTACTTGTAATGAAATTATCTTGTGTGGTTCTCAGTACTGAATGATTAGGGTTTATTTTCGGAATTTATTGACGAATATTGTTATTTCACATTAAAAAATATTATTAATCACAATCAATTATAGCCTATGTCACTCAGAATTGATGTAGGTTACTACTGGTGAAACAATTTTTAAAATCGGTTCAGTAGTTCTATAGATTACTTCCTACAAACAAACTCACAAACTTACAAACTTTACCCCTTTATAATATTACATTGCTGCAAACACTAGTTTCATCTGTTAAAATTAATCAAGTGGATAGAGGACAAATTTCACTTTTTATCTTTTTAGGGTGTCCTTCCTCGACCATATCGTATGCTACTTGGCCAAAGCCATAACGGTGCAAGTGAAGGTTAAGGGCTCTGGCGCCCCGGCACCGGGCATGGTGACGATGGGCAACAGTATAATCCCAGTTACGCCAGCCACTTGGTTCATGAGGGGCAGCACCACTAAGAAACACGCTCATCTAGTCTCTAAACTACTTCTGGATATGGCTGAGGTGAGTTGGTTTCACTTAATAATCCTAATAATAGTAAATGCCTATATTTGGCTTTTGGAAAACTCTTATAATTAAAATATCATAAATAAAAACTATAAATAAATCGTTTTATTGCAATGTCGGGATATAATTCTTTACTGCTGCTTATCCTCGATTATGCTGACATAAGCTATCTAGATATTACCGAAGTGCAACTTAATAAACTTGAGCGACTTCAAAATTTATGCATACGGTTTTCATATTTGGACTTCGAAAATATGACCATGTCTCAAAATACCGCGCTAACCTCAAGTGGCTTCCAATCCGCCTTCGTCGTAATACTCATATCTTTTCTGCTCTTATGCGTCTTATTTAATATATCAAGTCTTCGCTACCTCAAAGAACGTTTCCAATTCCTCAGCTCCGCTCATAACCTTTCCCTTCGGTCCCTAGAAAACCTTTCCCTTCTACGTCACTTGCACTGTTCTACTTTTTACAGTAAATCTTTTTCAGTTCTTGAAGTCAAGCTTTATAACTCCTTACCACTAGCTATAAAACGTGCTCAAACAATAGACTACTTTAAAAAAAATCTATTAAGAATTTATTACACTATCTTTCCCTCTAATTTCTCCACTCTCCTTTCATCTCTTCCTGTCGCTTTATGATTAAAGTCAATTAAGTAAATTTCGGTATGTTTAATTATTTAATATTTTAGATTATAATATTATTTACTGTCAATCTACCTATTAATTATCTTTTCATTTCTCTTTATTTCTTTTTTGGTTGTCTGGAATAAATACTCTATAGCAATAAGACCCCCTTTTGTTTTCCTCTTTGTTTGTTTCTCGTTATGTTATTTGTATTTTTAGTGAACAATAAAGGATATTGTACTGTGTAATTCTTAGTGTAGTGTCGGTAGGAAGGGTAAGAATAACCCATATCGTTCCGTGGGTGTCTTAAGAGGGTGAACAAACCAGGAGATGGACAGCAGCCTCTTCCTAATTACAATCAAAAACTAAAAATAAAAAAATTGCGGTTACGAATCTGTCCTCCAATCGTGGCAACTATGCCAAATCCCCCGTATGAGGCAATCTATGGAAAAGGCTTATGTTCAGCAGTTTCATTTTGATAGGCTGTAAAGTTAGCAGCAGAGCTTATTTAAAAAATATCATTTAATTGTGCACTAGTTCACAAAGATTTTTAAATAGTTAGTTGTCTCAACGCTCAATCTAAGGTCGATTGTATAGCACGACGTAATGATTCGTTTCGTATGAATGATGAATGTTTGATGATGATGATGAATTGCACATCACCTATTGAACCATTCTTTTGTGACGAGATTTTTGTGGTGGTCTAGTTTCAACTGGTCGGTTATTGAATGAAGATTCTTTATGTTAAAAAGCATGCATTTCCTGATAACAGTTTAAAATAGCTTTATTACAAAATTGGAGCAACAAAACTAGTTAGACGTAGTGCTGTATATTTTGTGTTTTACTCATTCATCTTTCTTCTTTCGTTAGGCGTTCTTAAAGTTTCACTCCTGTCATCATACGCACCTAAAACCTTGTAAGTTACAAATTATTTTAGATGGATATTTTGAATATGTTTTGGTTTTATACTCCTTGAAATGTACACAGCGCTCTGTATTTCTTTCTTCGTGGATCCGAGATTACAAAATAATCCCAAAATACTCTAGCTGTCTCTATCATTTTAGTCAAACTGACTGTGACACTACGAGCCTTAACGATGTCTCAAAATTGAGTATCGTTTGGCCATAAGACTTGTGTGTGTAAATTTGCAGGACAAAGTGTCGATGTCGTGGGGAGAGGAGACGCGCAAAGCGTTGGCCACGTACGCGTCGAGCGTGGCGCAGGTGAGCGAGGCGGAGCGGCGGCCCGACCGCTGCATCGCCTCGCCCACCATGTGGCTGGCCCTGGCCGCGCTCTGTGTCTGCGAACAATCCTACATCGATGTGTGAGTTACTTACTTTAAGATTCACTACTGATAATTTCAGTGTTATCTTAGAAGATTAATAGTTTTTGTAACCTACCTGGATAAACTTATATAAATATATATAAAACAACATACGATTTTCTGTAGAACCGTACCACTGTAACCAAATAATTTTCGACCACACTTTGACATTATTGGACGATATTGGTGAAACGTCATTCACACAGATGATGTCGTTTCGGCGACAGCTGAATTTTACAAAATTATTTACAACGTCTCTGATGTTTGTGTACCCAAAAAAACGGAGATCTAAATTAAATTTCAAACGTTACCCAGTCTGGTTTTCTTCTGAAATCATAAAGGATATCAATCGTAAAATAAGAAAAACATTGTGACATATGTGTTTATAATGATTTTTCTAGATTACGTTCGTAATTAAAGAATCGCATTGAGTTAGCCTACAAAACATACATAATATCTATCGAAAAGGGTATTAAGACTGACCCGAAAAAGTTTTGGCAGCATATTGGTAATCTGCAATCCAAGGTTAGTTTTGAACCCGCAGCAAGTGTACTTCTGCCAAATAACCCCATTCTAGTTCCCAATCAGGTATGTACCGCTAATATCGCACCACGTGGGGGATATGTAACCATACGCAACTTTACATTATCAGAAGTCAAAGCAGGTATCAACAAATTAAAACTCGGTAGTTCTGTTGGTCCCGATAAGGTTCCTACTTATATATTAAAATGATGTAAGGAACACATTGTGCTCTCCCTTTGTCATCTGGGGGCACGGCAGTGCCCCCGCCGAGTCGAGCAAAAAAGCGGCGCGGCCGTATCATCCTTTTCTCGAAGCGGTTTAGGCCATTTTCGAAACCCTATGTTATATCACATTCGATACTACTCTAACACGTGTGACAAACATAAAATATCTTGGCGTGACTTTTATTGTAGTTTAACTTTTCATGCACATATATTTAAACAATTAATGGATATTTGGCAGTTGTGGTATCTAACACTTCGCTTCGTAACTAGTGTCGTACTATATGAATGGCCATAGACGAAATTGGATCAGCCTTGACAAGAAGTGGACTATACTGGCTGATGAAGAGGAAGAAGATATTACAATGGGTATATATTTTCAGTTTGAAGAGCGCGTCTGCTAGCGACGTACGCAGCGAGGCAGAGTCTCGTCCGCTGTGTGTGAACCACGACGACGGCAGCACAGCGGCCGTGGTGCAGTGCCACGCGTGCGGCGCGCTGTGCGGCGAGTGCGATCGCTTCCTGCACCTCAACCGCGCCGCCAGGACCCACTACCGCCAGGTCACATTCATACTATTCAATACTTTTAAACTTTAAAAAGTCATCCATATTTTATATTTAAGTTGAAATATACATATTTGTATATTTGAACTTAAATATAAAATAATTATATAAATATTACTATACACTTTGGCGGGGTCTACAAATTTGTCACGGGGGAGTTTTGGCGGGAACTTGAACGGTGGAGGATTGCTGCTCTTGTATTATTGTTTAAATAATAGTTTGAAGTGTATTTTGATATGTGTAAGAGCGGTGCGATGTTATGTATTAAGTGTCTTCGCGTATGAGCTATTAGTGGAGACGGTGAAACAAGTGCTCTGATGGTGATGTGATTCTCAAGATAAGGTGTGTGTATTTATAGGCGCCTTGAGATACCATCGCCAACTGTCAGCTGTCTGCTGGATCAAGTTGCCGTCAAAATCTCCCAAGGGCTGCACAATGTAACGCTTCAACATATTGTGAAGCAGTGTACTATGAAAGATAGTCATACATTGTAACTTCAGGCTCAGAAGCGCTAGAACCCAGAGCCATAAAGCCAGTTATAAAAAATTGTCACGTGGGAGACCGATATGGACCAGCAGGGCTTGACAGATTAAGATGTTAAGTCTCGTGGTGTCACAGTAACTTTGACTTTTAGTGATAGAGACAGCACGAGACTAAACGGCGTCTTATAATTGAACAGCGTTTGAGAATTTGGGCACGAGTGGGTCCGAGGACAGTTGAGATTCACAATTGCACCCAGTAGGTGGCGCTGTTGTCGAGATCCAGAAATAGCCCGTGCGAAACCGTGGCGAATTGCTAGTTTTTTATAAATTACAAATTACAAATAACGGTGTAGTGGCGATGTAAGAATATCCACTACCTAATATATTCCGTGGGTTTTATAAGAGGCGATAGAGGAAAACAAACCAAGAAATGAGCAGCAACGTCTTCCTAATAACAGCTAAAAATAAAAAAAAACTGCGGTTGCCAACCCGCCTGCCGAGCGTGGCAGCTATGGCAAATATTCCACACGAGGCAATCTATGTTCAGCATTAGTCTTTTAATAGGCTGTAACAGTAAATAAGGGTTTAAAATAAAAGAAAATACTAATGGCCAAATACTCAAACGCTACTCAATTTTAAGAGGTCGTCGCAGGCACTTTAACTTAAAGTGATAGAGACAGCATGAGACTTAAAGGCCTTTTAAAATTAAAGTTAAGTTGTTACTAATGAAGTCCCTTAGCCGTGGTGCCACATTCGTTGCGAACATTTTAGTTCGCATTATTTCCACGGAACTACTTTATTAAAACTAAGACTTACTTTATCAAACAACATATGAGGTCAGGGAAAATGTTTCTTCGTATTTTTATATGAAAATTCAAGACATGTTTTTCAAAGCTTTAATTATAATATATATGTATGTGCCATTTTGTTGGATAACTTGTTGCCATCTTGTTTATAGTAACATAATCCCGTTGCTGTTGTAATTTTGAGATTTTTGATTAATAAAATGCGACAAGTAGTTTTGACAGACTTTCCTTGATGTTAAACTAACACTATCCAAAGAATTCTGAAAAGATCGAAACAGGTGAAAATCTGAGGGTTCATGGTCAGGACTATATGGTGGATGCATTAACACTTCCCAACCAAGCCAAGTGTGGCCTAGCCTTAACACTATGAATACCATTCCTTTTCTGTTGATCGATTTCGGCAATTTTTTCGTAATTTCGTGCTTGAGTCTCATTAATTGTTGGCAGTAGAGATCCGAATCGATGTTTTTGCCTGGCGGTAAATGTTCACAATAAACGATGTCCTTGTAATCCCACCATATACACAGCGTTACCTTATTACGAGTTAATCCGAAATTCGCTGCAGTCTGTGGAGCTTGACTACCCTTTGATCATGATCTTATTCGCACGTTGTTGTCGTAGGTGATCCACTTTTCATCTAACTAATATGCCGGTAACTACTAATATGCCTATCTTGCTACACTTTTTCAAAAATGGTATCGATTTTATCCGTAGTAGGGTGATCAAAACGAGCTGCATCTTTGACATCCAAATTCCCGGACTGAAAATGCTTGAACCAATTTTGTGCTACTCTTACTGACACTGCATTGGGTCCATAAACGTCCTAAAAACAAACAGGCAAACAATTGAAAATGGCGGGAATGTGTTTTTTACCTTTTATTTTTCTTATAATTAATGTCCTACACGTATTGATATTAAAAGCAGCCAGATACAAACAGTACAACGAAAGAGATTTTTCTTCAATTTTATACAAAAATATGCGGACAACAACACAACACAAAACACGGAAAATTTCAGTTACTTCTAACAACAGTTATATCATGTGCATCAATTTATTTAATAAAATTCCCAGTATTTTTATAGAATAATGGTGACAAACGAGCACACAGTCTAACTGGTGGTAAGTAGATGCTGAGGCCCACAGACATTTACAATTCTCCTCGATTCAGATTCAAAATTCTGGTGCGTAGTCACCCCCGAGGACCAAGATGGAATGCCTCATTTCCAGTAAAAAGGGGCTCCGGTTCTCTACACTCACCATACGAAACACAGCAGCATTTTAAGCTGGTATTCTACGAGAGCATGATCCTTTCGGTCGACTCAACCAATTTTGATCCAAATACTACGTTGTCTTGAAACTGACATTATCTCCTACATTTAAGTGTCTGATGCGCCGGACGGTCTAAAAACTTATACTATTGTTTAATGAACTTAGCCTAGATGGAAAATCTTACCATGAACATTCAACTGATTTGTCTTTGATACGCGATTCCTTATTTGCTACGCATTATCTCTTCAAATAACTGATGATTAATTTCATATTTATTTATATAGATATCGTTGTGTTTAATCCTATGAGTTATACCTACCAAATACACAAACGAAAAAAAGAAACTTAAATATTAACATCGATAACTGTATTTAAGTTTATAGAGCCTAATAATGTTAGTTAATCTATATAATTAAAGTAAAATAAATAAATATAAATTATAAAAATAAATAAAAACCTTCCAAGAAAAAATGGAAAGCCTCGGCAGGTACACACCACACGGCCGAGGGTTAGGGAGAAAGGGAAAGAAACCGCCTTCTTCATTTGTACACGGAGCGGTCCGTCAGGTGACCCGAGAAGCTGACCGGTATTAGCCCGTTCGCAGAAACGATCACAGGAATAATTTCGACCGACAGATCACCCCACATATCGGTCACCTGCCAGCCAGGCCCAGAATAGAATAGAATAGAATAGAATGATTTTTATTCAATATGGATTATTACATAATACTTATTGAAAGTCATAGAATTTTCATAGAACCAGTATGGTGGCGATCACCTAATTCCCAGGGGTTATTTTCATTCATGTATTCCTTGATATTATAATAACCCTTTTTGTACAGTTTTTCTTTAATAAAACTTTTAAACTTTTTTATTGACAAACTTTGAACATGTTCTGGGATTACGTTGTAAAAGCGTATACATTGCCCCATAAATGAATTACTAATTCTGTGGAGTCTAGTAAGTGGCATTACAAGCTTATGTTTGTTCCTAGTGTTTAAGGTATGAACATCCTTATTCTTATTAAAGCTATTTATGTTTTTATGTACATACATTACATTTTCATAAATATATTGTGATGCCAAAGTTAATATGTTTATTTCTTTAAATTTTTCTCTGAGGGACTCTTTACAATTTAGATTACAAATCGATATTTTATTATTTTAATTCGTCAATTAATTATTTTTATTACACCTCAATTATAGATATGTAAGGAAGAGGAGAGCGCAGTGCGAATCGATATTCACGAGGGTTGCGGCCGCGCGAAATTATTCTGGCTACTTTTGCTCGTTGACCGGCGAACCCTCAAGGGCTTGGCGGAGTTCAGAAGCTTGGATACGGCTTGCGACGGTCCAAGCTATTTGGGGGGCGAAGGTCCGTCGACTGGATTCGCCGGGCTGGCAGGAACGTGTCGGTTCTGTGGCACTCGTAGTACTTCTGGACTTCTCGCTATTGGGAATGTGTGCGCTGACGAGCAATGCCAAGTAAGTAAATCAATCACGCCCGTTGATTTGCTCATGGTCACGACATAAGTGACGTATCTTGTATTTTTCAGTAGATCATCTTCTTAGGTAAAATATCCGTCTGGAATGTGACCTGCTTACGAGCTGATTGAAATAAAAGAAGATTAAAAATTTACAATAATTTTATTTAAAGTAGCGACCCACGCAGGCTGCGGCTGAATGAGATCTATTTATTAATGAGGTGTCATTTAGATTTTTAAAATAATCATCAATGACCACCTACTTTACAAGAAAAGACTACAAGTTTTCGGATAAAATATAGGCATTGGTTTATCTGTTTACCAAGTTTTATCATAATTAGTTCAGCCTTATGGAAGATTAGTCCAGACATAGAGACAAACATTTTAAAAATGGTTATCCATTGTTTTAATGCCATGCAAATGTCCCCCTAAGCTCGATACTCCAATTTTATTATATGTATAAATAGGTCTAATAAACTAATTATGAAGATTACCATTTATGTTATTCATTGAATTTTGAACTATTTAGCGGTAAATAAAACATTTGTATGATTATTATTTATTAATTTAAAAAAATCTCATTTTAGTTGTCATACAATCTGGTTAAGGACAGATTTAGATGAGACCTACATGAAACTATATTTCCTCGATAAGTTTTTATTACATAGGTACATGAAAAAAAAATGGCAGTCTAACTGATAAACTACTTTTTTGAATTTGCTTTAAAAGGTAAGAGAGGAAAAATAATGTTTTTAACATGTTAATATTAACGCTTCCTAGGTCGTAGGACTCTCCGTAGCCTTTTTTATCTGAAGTTGATTTTGCCATCATAGGGACTGTAAGCTAGATTATCACTGTATGTTTTGTAAAACAACTTTGTAACTTTGTGGTGTTTATTGAAAAAATGAATCCACTGTGATCTCGCGCTTAATGAGCACTTTAATACATTAAAAAATAATCCCGAGCACAACACCTAAATTTGTAAACTGTGTAACAGCCCAATATTGTAAATTTCTCTTAAACCACCAGCGGGAAACACATTTTTTTCTCGCTTTCTTTTTTTATTAAAAACGTTACCTCCACACTAGGATTGTCTCCTGTATCGTGGGGGTAGTTTACATACATAAATTTCACAAGGACAAAGATTATTTGTAACGGTACAATTATTTTTAGGTCATACAAATACTTGTACCGTGCGGGATTCGAACCCGCGGCCCTTAGCGCGGCAACTCATTGTTAAGTCGCTGCGCCACGGAGCCGTCATACAGGCGTGGGGGCAACGTCATCCGATGCTTATGTGCGTCGGAACAATATCGCGAATAAAATATTTGAACCGTTTTTTACTACAAGGTTCATTTTACTGTTTCTATTCACAGGAGCACAGTCTGGATGCTTGCACGCATGTACTTCCGTGCGGGCACGTGTGCGGTGGCGTTCGTGGGGAGTCCACTTGCCTGCCCTGCCTCATGGGGTGTGCCGGCGCAGAGGGCGCCATTCCATTGCGCCAAGATGCTGACGATATGTGCATGATCTGCTTCACTGATCCATTGCAGGCCGCGCCGGCCATACAGGTATGAGATCAGAACACTTTCCGCATATTGAGTAAGCCAGAACGATAAAGTCATTGGCTAATTTTTACTAACATACAAATTTCCATTCAGTTTTGTACATTAGTACAAGTATAGTTTGTGATAAACGAATTTCTTCAATTCATTAGTGTCTTAACCAAAAATAATAAAATAACTAACATCTCGCACTTGTTTACATTTATTCACATCCAAGTATTGACTCTACGTCGTTTTTAAGGTTCCGTATTTACACAACTAGGAACCCTTATAGTTTCGCCATGTCCGTCCGCGGTTTTGCTCAGAAGCCCTAGGTGCTACGAGTCTGTAATTTGGCATAATTATAGATATTAATCACGCCTACAAAACTGAAATAAAATCTTAAAAAACATTTTTATTTTAGATACTTCCCATACAAGTAAATGGAGGATGATTTTTTACCCGTCTATTCCATCATGTGAAGTATCGTTGGGTAGGTCTTTAAAAAACATTGCAGGAGTGGAACAACATCTTTTCGATTCAGGGATCCGTTTGCGAAATAATTAGCTTTAAAGACGTATTTTTCATTAGAATCATGTGTCCCCTCCTCCCTCTACCAACTAAACCGCGATTTTCGGAAATGTGAAAAGTGTATACTATAGTTTCATATATGTATAATGAAGTTAAAAGGAAAACGGTCATAGCTAAGTAGAATTAAGAAGTTAACGAGTAATAGTCGACCAACTTATAAAATGCACTTGGATTAGTAGAAATTTCCTTACAACTCCATAGAAAATGACCAAAAACTAGCTGCATTATAATTTTGTAATGAACAAACAAACTGTTAAAAATAAACATTTTATGTGAAGAAAATTACTTATATGCATTACTACTTACTTTGTCATTTACGGGACAGGCAGGGAGGATCTTACTTACTTACTACTTTCACTTATTTTTTAGTTGGTACTTATTGTAGGCCGCATTCAAAATATTCATACAATCATATAGCCTCGTACAATTTCATTCGTCACACTCTTGGTTTACGCGGGCGACCTCAGGATAATTTAAGGCAGTGGTGGTTTACGTGAAGGTTCGTTACGTTCATATATGTATATTTTTGGGTTGCACTGCCGGGAATATATAGATAGATCATCATCATCTTTGTAGGTTGGCATATGAATGGTGTTGATGTAAATTGTATTATTTTCAAAATCGAAAAGTTTTTTTTTTGAATATATAGGGAGTGGCTATAAGTGTGATTTAAAAATAAGCCCTTCAGTTACGATCTTCCTATTTGGGCCCATTTTAGCCGTTATAGCGGTCATTCCGCGAACTCACTTCTTATGATGATCATAAGAAGTGAGTTCGCGGTATCAAGAAAGCTCACGTATTGTGACGGGCAACTACGGAACCCTACCTCTACATTGTGCGTGGCCCTACACGCACTTGGCCAATTTTTTAAAAGTTTTTCGGCTTATTTGGTGATTGCTATTATCATAGATTCTTAAGACTAATAGCGTACCCGCACGATAAGATTTTCTCCTATATCTTGGAGGCAGTTTACGTACATCGATTGTACAAGGACTGACATTCCGGCCTGGATTAATTATTTGTAAGCCGTAAAAGCACTTGTACTGTGAGGGATTCAAACACGCGGGTCTTTAGCGTTACTACCAAACGCTAAGCCACTGCGCTACAAAGCCTTCCAATAATCAATAGATTGTAATAGGAACTGAGTATATAATAATTTATATACTCAGCATATTTCTCAGCGATCCGCACCGGCTTCGCGCAGATGATTTCTGGATGTCAACAACAGCTCCACCTATCGGATCCAATTATGATGCGAAACCATTCAGGAACCCACTCAAACATTTCATCAGAGTCGGTCGAGCCAGTCTCGATTTTTAGCGACTAACGGACAGTGATGTAAGTTAAAGCCCGACTACGGTGAAGCCAAAAGCATGGTTACAATTTTTGAAGGTTGTGTATGTATGAATGTATGTTTAGCTGTTCAATCAGATCTTCTAAACTACTCATCATATTGACACATTAAATATTTTTAGAATCATTGTGCCCTTTCGCGAGTTTTAGCTTCCATGAAGTCACATAAAAACTAACATGGCCACTTATTACGGATATATAAATACTTCCAAAAATGAAATAAATACTGAAATATCGTTGATGGATGCAGGTGACTGATGACCATGTTTTGTGACATTCCTTGCGGGAGGCGTATTATATTCAGATTTGTGACGGGTGACAATAATAATTATCAGCAACAATGTCAGACCAGTTCACTATTAGACAAAACTGTCATTGATTTATAATTTCGAATATTTAATTACAATATAATGCTTAGATATAAGTAATATAATCAAAAACGTAATGTT